TACCAATTCTTTGGGCTCCGTTCCCACCCAGACAAACATGCTATGGTCTTGGACATTATAAATCTCAATTGAATCATTTCAATTTGATTTATTATAATGGCTAAAATGTTTGATATTTGGACTTTTATCGGTTCAATTGAAATATATGATACGAAGTAACATGAGTCAACATACAATGAAATATGTGTACATATAATCCAATTAGAGAAACACTTCAATGAGACGATATGATATGTTTAATTAGGATAAATAATTCCCGTACAAGAAAAGACGCATAAAACTTTACTCTTTTGAAACTACCATCATTCAGTTATATTACTATCTTTATACAAGAATGATAACAAACAAACAAATGAATGAATGGATCAATCAATCAATATAAATACTGCAAAATATTAATTTTATTTCAAAAATAAAGTTACATTGACTTGTATTGAATTATATGTTTAGATGAACTCAACTTCTTGAATAGAACCTTGACACTTACTAGAATATTAATTTTTCTCTAAATTATATTATTAAATTAAAACAGGGTTTACATTTGCTTTCAAAAAATGGAAAGTGTCTTCCTCTTGTTTGGCTTTGCACGAAACTAGCAACTCTTGATAGTGACAAGGAGAAAACGCGTTTTACTTTTGACTTGCGTGAATATAATACAATTCACAATAGATTATTGTTTGAGATAGATAATTCATCGTCCCCACCATGTAGCTGTAGCTTCAATTGTTAACTGTTTTTTTTAATTAATTTTAATACTTTCTTAACATTTTTATTAATTTCTCAAGTCTTTCACATCTGTCCTCACAATCAGTGATTGTTCTACGATGTTTTGGTCAATCGCTTCGTACAGTAAAAATAATCGTAACACATCTTGAGAACGTATCTTCTATGAAATTTGTGCACGTAAAAAAGAGAGGAATTAACGAATTAAATTTCACTGAAACTAACGTGTCCAGTTAGAATTTGGCTGGCCGCAACATTTTTTTGTAAAACTTATTTTCAAGTACACATTCTCTAAAAAAATCATCATTTGTCCAATAGATGGGTCTCAAACAGGCCAAAATTTGATTGATTCAAATTAGCTAGAAAAGAGGAGATATTATCGTACATAAGACTTGAAAATAATAATTAAAAGCTTAAAAGCGAAAAGTACACAACTTTTGAAATAAAATAAAAGAAAATTAACCACAAAACTACACTATAAATATATTAACATTTGAAACATAATAGAGAAAATGACAAATCGATGATGGGATGTGCAGTAGCTTATCTATTATTTTCTGCATTATTACTATTTTCTAGGTGATCTACCCACGTCTTTTTCTGTCGTCGGGTCATTTTTCACCTACTGTGATAAATTAAATAAAAAGTAATAAGAAACAAACAGAAAAAACAAGAAAGTTCCAGTTCCCTCCCGTTGTTCTTATACTACAACTTAGGAAAGATTAAGGGCCTGTTTGGACCCAATTTTTTCACCCAAAAAATTAATTTTTTGACCGTAATTTTATTATTTCAGTCGTCATATTTGACTTCTTCTCTCATAGGTGGACCCCACTTTTCTCCTAACGGTTAAAAAATCAATTCTCAAAATCACTCCCAAACAAGCTCTAAGCTTAGGAGCATCACGCTTAAATAAGTGGTTGAAGAGCAATTTTTCGTCCTAACAATGACTAAAGTCTACAATTTTGTATCACATTAGATTTTCTTTTGCAATTTCATTATCAATATTATCGTATATATTAATAGGCAAATCTGTACTTTTAGAACCAAATCCAGTACGTTTTAGGGGTGGCAAAGGAGGAGATGAATTCAACCATAAGATTTGATATATTTACCGGTTAAGAATTAGGTAGACACAAAGGATAGGTTGAGGGTACGAGGCAGGACCATTGGCCCATAATTATTATGAGATGGAGAGTAGCTTATCTTATCCGCTGCTTTTTCTGATTTTGACTTGTTCTTTTTCATGCCAAGACTGGATGTTATCCAGGGTTACGTTCAATGTAACATTATAGAATTGAGTTAGGGCACTGTTAATGTAAATTTGAAGGGAAATATGTCTACATTAACTGTCCTAACTCCTAACTAAACTTTTCTTCTACACCAGTTACATAGTCAAATGGGATGTTCTTTTTGCTCGACACTAACGTCAAAATTTGAAGGGAAATATGTCTACATTAACTGTCCTAACTCCTAACTAAACTTTTCTTCTACACCAGTTACATAGTCAAATGGGATGTTCTTTTTCCTCGACACTAACGTCAGCCTTAGTCCTTAGGCCATGTTTAAATTTAGCTCGGGCCGATAAGCTATGAGCCTGTTTGGGAGTGATTTTGAGAATTAATTTTTTGACCGTTAGGAGAAAAGTAGGGTCCACCTGTGAGAGAAGAAGTCAAATATGACGGCTAAAATAGTAAAATAACGGTCAAAAAATCAATTTTTTGTGTGAAAAAATCGGGCTCAAACAGACTCTATATTTCTGTCATTTCCATAAGCAAGCAGTAGTTATTTAAAATAGCAGCACCAATAAATAATCTGGAATTGAAATTATACCAATCATTTTAGATTATATCTTCAGTTTTATCTTTCTTCCTTCTTGATCAGAAACACTAATTATCCGAAAGTAGCCCAAGTAGCCATATGAACATCTTCCTATTCAAAGTAATAATTGTCCGCTGGCAAGCAAATGTGAAGCAAACGAACCATACAAACTTAAACAAAATTTCAAAACGAGCGATTACAACATGATGATGCTTAGTAGCGATACCTTCTCTCTCGGGATTTGTTGCAGGGTGGAACCAGCAAATATCATTCCTTCCACATATCTGCAAATTCGTCAACCTCCAAGGGATTTTCCATCTCGTGCATTTTCCTCCTTGTCTTGGCTTTAACTTTCTTTGCATATTTTCCAGCCTTCTGCTTTTTCTCTAATGATCGAATCTGTAAGCACGTGCAAGAGGGAGACATTAAGAGGTGAATAGCAAATAGTGTGCTTCAAGAGATGCCTTCATACAACAGCTGATTATTTGTGTATGCTATAGCATCAAATAATTCTTTGAGCGCCTTAAAAAAAGTTGATTGTACTAGAACATAAAGTACTAGAATGAGAAAAAATACTGCTAGAAGAGCTAACCTGGTTTGGCGAAACATAAAATGGATTCTCAAAGAGTGTTGGACCTCCAAAACTGCCACCAAATATCTTAATTGGGTTCAAACAAAACCTTGGACCAACCTATCCACAAGTTTTAGATGGATTTAGTCTAGACAACTCACTTTATCCCGTCATTGAGTAAGGACTCAGATACAAACCTCGACTAGTGTCATCTTTTCCAAGTCCCCACGGTCTATTTTTTGTCCTCCACTTTGAGGACAAGATATCTGCATCAAAAGAAAAGTCATTCAAATGGGATTTTAGAAATTTGAAACTAGTTCTATTAATTATCTCAAACAGAGAAAAAGGCTAATGTGAGTCTATTCAAGGCATAGCCATTTCGGCAACCTATGTCCCTATTTGGTGGGGGATAAAAATAAGATTTCTAATAAGTTTTGATAAAAGTTGAAAAAATATGAGGTTGAAAAGTTGTGAATTCTGTAAAATATGTGGTTAAAATTAATTGTTGACTTTGACTTAAATTAAAACCAAGATTTTAATCCTTACCGAACAGGGGCAAAATTTTATGATTATCGGTAACTTGTGCAGTGATTTTTTTCTGTTTTGAGGGATGTGGGAAGGAGAAAAGGGTTTGAGAAAAGGACTCTTTAAAACTTCTTTGGTACACAGAATTTTAGTTTTCCATAAACTTCATAGTTCATAAGAATTCACACCACATGCACATGCCGATGCAAATCTTTGAGCATTACATAACAGCAACATTGACTTCCTCAGAGGGAGAGTATGTGAAATAGACAGGAAGATGAAACCTTAACAATAGAGAAATTAAGTAAAAGTATCTCCCAGTGTAAAACTTAGAAATTATCAATACTTGGTATTAGTATTGAAAGGAACAAGAAAATTATGAAAGCATTGGCACTAAACGATACTAAAGAGAGCAAATTTGGCAGACACACTAACATATTTGATGGTTGAGGGGACGGAGGGAGGGGAATTGTTTTTTGATTTATAATATTGCTGACTTTTAATACGTCATGTTAGAATCTCAGAAAATTCTTTGATATGCAAACTTATGGAACAACCGAACAAATTCCTATGAAGATGTGAAGCATATTAAAGTGTGTAGTAGACAATACAGAAAATTAAATTAGTTTGTAATTGTAAAACATATACACTCACAATGTGTACGCGCCATCAGCATCACTTATGATAACTTTCATGATTCCAAAGAAAAAGGAAACCAAACATGATGTTTGGCATTCCAGAAACTCTTAAGCAAGGATATTGACATTAATATGCAATACTTTATGGACAAGCATGTGCATATACAAAATAATTTGTGCACACGGATGTGCTTTTGCTGCAATGTGCTTTTGCTGCACATTAAATTTTATATCAAGTTTCAACTATGTGTGTGTGTGAACATTGAATTACACAAGTCTAATCAACAATGGATTGTGAAAGAAATCAGAATCTGTGTGCACATCACCAACCTGATAATTCCGGAACCATATGTGGTCATCAGTAATTGAAAAAACAAATATATTATCATGGTAAGGTTTAGATTTTCTGTGGTCCTTCGGAGTGCCAAATATCTGGAAAAAAAGAATAAAAAATGCAAAACTTTAGAATATAATTTGGCCATGACATATTGAACTTATAAGCACCAGGTAAAAATATTGAACAACCAATGATAAAACAGTAAGCAACCAGTTGAACAGTATAGTATATCAACAAACTTCAGACATAATTCTACAAGAGACTAATGATATATCCATAAATCACACTGATTAAGCTGGTCATATTTACCAATTACCCATATATGGCAATATCAGAACTCAATTATGTCCAAGAAATTTTCTTGGTCTGTTGTATCATACCTCGATTTATTTGACAGGCAGAATCAACATTTTAAGATTTTACAACACATAGGAACTGAATTCTTAACTCATTTTTCAATAGTGTATTAACATGCATTGTCACGTATCAAATTTTCCAGAATAAAGATCACAATATTATCATATACATAAAAATTAAGCATGCCAATCGTTAAGCTTCCATTTGGAAAAATTTATAAATCAATTATAAGTTTTCAAACTTCATTTAAAATGACAAATTTCAATGAACCCACAAGTAGTATTCACTTATCCACCACTCATTTCTATTTATTTATAAATTTAACCTTTTATAAATTCTTCCCAAATGGAGGCTAAGATAAAAATCTTATAATAATGATCAGAAATGACAGTACGCTCAATAATTCAAGTGACAATTATCTAGTTATATTCCCCTGAATGTCTAATTTACATAAAAACTATCCAGTATATAAATGAGAAGCTAATAAGAGTAATATAAAGTGCCATAGGAGAAGGCAGTGCAAAGAATAGTGATTTGAATAGTAGGAGGTCATACCTGTGTGATCATTTCCTTTAACAACTGAAAGTGGGGTTTCTTATCAAAATTGGATGAAAATGTCAGAATAGGACGAGAACCTTTCAGATGATTTCCAGTGAGCTTTAATTCCTCCATCGTGTGCACTAAGAACATCGAAAAAAAATATCTCCACAATTATGATACCACAAAGCAAAAGAATTTACGGCCAAGTTGATAAATCATAAGAACAATAAATACAAAATTCAATACAGAACTACATATCAGTGGTATGAATTAACACCCAATACCTGCATTGACTAAAAACTTGACAGATGGCCCATTGGGGCATTTGGCCATCCATAGATAGAGGTCTTTGCCTTTCCTACACTGAAATAAAAAGGAGAAACTGCATGTGAGCCCGTGACAAGCAAAATGTGGCTAACCAGAAGTTCATTCTATTTCTGTGTCTCCAATAACTCATAAGCACCAACACAGTTGGAAATCAGCAAGTTAAATATTGGCAATAATTATGCCACACCCCAATAGAAAATTAAAAATTTACCAGTTCCAAGATCCATTGATTCAATGTACATCGCATAATTAAAAGGGAAATCAAACTGACATATCAAAGTACAAAATTACCTCAAAAAACAAACAAGAGGAGCAGCTCTTGAGCTCGACTAGCTCATTCAAAGTTGCACCTTTGCTTTCTTTGGACTCAACCTTGTTATCTTTCTTACAGTGCGGTAAAAGGTCTACCAAGTTCAACATCAAATGCCTATACCTACAATCCCAGCCAAAGGGGAAAAAAATAAGAAATCATTAACTTAAATTAGGCAATAAAAATTGGAGCGTATGCACAAATTCAGAACACAAGAAAAATTATACCTGAAACTAATACGTCGGGAACAAGTGACTAAAACTTTCTCTTTATTTCTAAAACCAACAGAACCATTTTGGATCTTATCATCTTCATCATTGTTTTTCCATCCCAAAAGTGTTCTTTTGGGCCTTTCTTCCGCAGTTTCATCTTTCTTTAAACTGGCCGCAGCCTCAGTTGCAGTGTGTTTTCGCTTCTTTCCCATTTGAAACCTACACAAAAAAGAATAAGAAGTACTACTATAAGAAAAGAAACCTGTTCAAAATCACAATAAATCGATGGGAATTTAGTTGTATGGGAAAGAGAGGAGATTTTTTTTATTTTTTATTTTTTACCTGATTGGAGGTATGGAGAACGACGAAGAAGCTGGAAACTGAGAGAATTGAAGCCTGAACCGTAAACCCTGAATTAAACGGGCTTCAAAGTTTGGGGCTCGTCGATGGGCTTCATATTTTGGGCAATTTGTAGAGTTCATACAAATAACATAACTGGCACTGCAATTGGAAATTCTCAGGATCTGATTTGGAAACAAATAATATTTTGGGACCTATATGCATAAAATAGTAAAGTTTAGTTACCATATTTACAAATTATTCTTGCACCACATTTTTTTATTACAATGAAGGTTCACAAGTTTTACTCATTTTGACACTTATATCCAATATATTTTTCGTCACGCTTTATCATTAACCTTCAATTAACACATTTAGAATCTGTCAACGATTTTTGTACAAATATTTGCTAACGTGCTTGAAGTTTTATTAAAGTTTTATATTTATTATTTATTTTGTTATTTGAACAAGTAATATTTTGTTATTTGAACATGTGAAATCTTGTCTTGACCCGAATGGGGATAATATTTCTCTTTTACATGTTCATGGAGTTTTGAAAATTCAAACATCTCAAAGATGGATAGAAGTGGGAATTTTTCGAAACGAACTACACTTGAGTACGTCAAGAGTCCATTAGAAAAATACAAGAGACGTGTAAGCTTTTATATGTTCCAACGAATTTTTTGAACGACAATCATTACGAAAAGACTTGATATGTAAATGAATAGAAAGTTGAGAGGAAGGACGTGACATAAAAAAGAAAGATGGACACGCACCTGTAAAAATGGACAAAAGTTTAAGTGTTAATTAAACCTTATTTGGCAATGATTAAAATTCAAATTTTAATACAAATCAATCACCAATCAATTTTAATCATGTATTTGATGGGTCTCACGATTGGTCACCAAACTTTACGCTGTTATATATATATATATTAATTAATTTTTTTTCAAATTCTGAGGGGCCACCACTCCTAGCTCGCAACTCTAATGATTATACAGTATTAATAATATAAGTGTCATTTCCAAAAATTATGACATCCAGAATAATTGTTAAGCTTTCATTTCTACTTAATAAGAATTTTATATTTATACCAAATTCATCTTTTATTAATGCCCTAACTAATGTAGTTGTTAAACTATATTGTCTTTCTTGAAATTTTATGATGGCACTAATAGTTATTTTTCTTGTTGGGTTTGACTTTACATCTTTTCTAATCTTATCATTCTATGGTGGTTGTATCTTTCTATGTAATCTTTCAAGTATAGGATAATCTAATGTTAATCCTGCTGCACTTGCTAGCTTTCAAAGTTTAACAAAAATGGTTATATATATTTCATATTACTAATACTTAATTTTTCTGAGTATTCTAAAGCTTTATTTTGTTTATAGGTATTATCTCCACTGGGATCAAAATTTATAGTTAATTCTCTAATAGAACTTGTAAAATTTATAGAATTATCTTCTCTAACCATTCTTAATCTAATTTCGTCTGGTTTTAGTCTTTTTGCTATAACATATATATCTAAAGCTGTATTTCCTAAATTAATTTCTAAGTAAGCTCACATTTCTTCTACAATCATTTGTATAAGTACACTATTATATGCCCTAATTATAGAATTTTTCCATTTAGTTATAGTACTAGGTCTATCTTGTGGTTTACAATTATTTAATTCTAAAATTAATCCTCTATCATTTTCTAATGGTAGACTACACCTTTCTTCTGTTTGTCATTTTCTTAAACTTTTATATTATTTTTCAATCCATTCAAAATCTTTTGCATGGGAAAATGATATCTACCTCCTATGTCATATTCTGCATTCATAAATTCTTTTCTTTTTCCAAATTCTTAATCTGTTTCCATTTTAGATCATTTTCTAGCTTCTTCCATCCTGATTTCTATGTCTACTTAATATTTTAGTTTCTATTTTCTCTAGCTTTTCTATGATTTCTATATATATATATATATATATAATATTTTATTGATATATAAAAATTGAAATTCAAATATTGAAATAAACTTTGAACTACACGATTGAAAGTAAAGATTGAAAAATAAAGACAGTAATTTATCTCCCGCTAAATCAACTCTCTTGAGAGCTATACTGAATAAACTCTAATGAGAGATGTACTCAATAAACTTTGAGGAGATCTTGAACAATTGATCTGCTTTTATACTTGAAATATTGAGCTCCAATCTTGAAAAAAAGAATCTTGAATAATTGCACATTTTAACAAAATGCATCGTCCACTTGCAAAAGTTAGAAAAGTCTTCAACAAATCTTTTCTTTGTCTCCTCTTTTTCAAAAGTAGGCATCAACTTTAGTCATAGCCTTTGACTAAAATTCTTTGATTGATCTTCACCTTTTGAATTTGTTTGCTCGCCAATTTTGAATCTTGAAACATTTGTTTTACTTTTGTCTTAAAACTCAAGTAAATTATTGAGATTGAATAATTTTTCATCAGCATAATTGAGACTGTGCCCTTGAAAAGGTTCTTCATTTCTTTGATAAATATCATCAAAATAATTTTGAAACATTGATATTTCATCATCAAATATTTTCTTGATCAAAGGAACTAAAGTTTGAGTACATTTTTCTTCATCAGTAAAAATGATGTAATGTTCATTATGAAACATTAATTGTAATATTGAATTATCAAGATTTGTTCCAAGCTTTTTCGTTACAGCAAGAATGGATTTTGATCTAATTTTTGTAAGAATTTCTTTTACATCATTTTTGAGTATGATATCTTGGTCATCAAGATAGTAAGCTTTTGAAGAGATAATTGAATCTGGCATTGGAAGATTATTTGACAAAGTACTCCAGATAGTAACAATTTGTTTTATTGGAAAATACTCTTCAATAAAAAGAGTATCATTGAATTTGACTTCTTTAGCAATCCATTCAAGAAGAATGGTTGAAAATTCAATTTTGAAGGTTTTAACTTTAAATTCAAAGAGATGATTAATAACTCTTTTGAGAGAGCTATTAAAAAAACGAATATCTGTTTTTGAATCAATATGTATTGAGGAAATAAATCCTCATTTGATCATTTGACGAATTTCTTCATTAACGACGTTAATGATTGAAGTACCTTTGAGGGTAAAATGAAGTTGATGATAACTTTCACATGTTGCAAAACAATTGAAATAAAAGTTATCAAAATTTCTAAAAATAATTTGTTTGAATTTTTTAGCACAAGTAGGGTCTCTATTGATAATATTTTGATAAATGTCATTAGGAAGTTTTAAGACTTCCTTCATAAGATTTCTTCTATTCTTTTTCAGTAGGAATATATTTTGAGAAGAAGGTTCTTTTGAAATTTGAGAAATAAGTCTTTTACTTCTCTGATAATTTTTCTGAAAATTTTTGATAATTTTATTACTACTGTCAAAAATTTCAGTAGTATTTTTGAGACATCTTATAATATCCTTGTTACTTCTTTGATAATGAGTAGTAAGAATATCATCAAGATTATCCTTTTGAAATTTGAAAAGTCTGGTATGAGTTTTAAACATATAGAATTTTGATTCAGTTCCTGAATAGGAATCTGATTGAGAAGATTTACCTTCGGTCAAAGAATTTCATTCTTTGATTAAGAAATATCTGTGTCTTGTAACATTTTTGTCTTCAAAAGGCTTGAAGAAGATCAAGAAAAGAGACAGTCTTTTGTATTCATACCTCTTAACGAAAAATTTGCAAGAAAAAAGTCTTGCAGGAAAGTTTGAAGTTTTTCAAATAAATAGTACCAAAAAATAAAATAAAAACAAGATATGTTGTCTTTTGGAAATTCGGAAAAGTTGAAAAATACTTGACTTGACATATTTGGAATCTATTTTAACACCTCACCAAAGCCTAAATCAGAGGTATCGGTTTCGACAATTATTGAAGCGGTAGGGTCAAGAATTGATAAGCATGGAATATTTTTAACAACTTTTTTGATTTTTTGGACAGCTAATGTGCACTCGTGAGACCATGGGTCCGGATTCTTTTGTAGTCTTTTGAAAAGAGGAGCACAAATCAATATTATCTCTTTAATAAAGTCGCCGACATAATTGACACAATTAAAGAATCTTTGAAGAGAAGATTTATCTAAGATTTCATCAGAAAATTTTTCAGTAGAATCTAAACTTCTCTGAATTGGAATAATTGAATCATTTTGAATATTATGATCTGAAAATCTTATCTTTGTTTGACATAAAACAATCTTTTTAGCAGAAACTATTAAACCATTTTTCTTGATAACATGCATGAATGTATTGATATGCTTAAAATGTTGTTCTATACTTTCAAAAAATATAAGAACATCATCAATGTAAACAATGATAAAATTTGAAAAAGGATTGAAAATATCATTCATGATTTTTTGAAATTCAGAATGAGCATTTTTTAAACCAAAAGGCATAACATTCCATTCGTTTTGACCGAAAGGAACATTGAATGTAGTTCTGTACTTATCTTCTTCTTTAATTTGAATCTGCCAGAAACCTGACTTTATATCAAATTTGGAGAAGATAACAGTTTTGAATAATCTATTTAAAAGATCTTTCTTTTGAGGAAGTGGATATCGAATCCATTGTAGAGCGTTATTGAGACAAATATTTGAATTACAAACATGAGCTTTTGAAAGTTTATATTGAATGTTGAGTTTCTTACCACTAGCACTATAAAGACGCTCAGTAGTTTTTTCAAAATATTTTGTAGGTATCAATCCTTTACGGATACAACTTTGATAAGCTCCAAACTCAATAAGGACTCTAGAAGTGAATTTGAATTCTTTGTTGACTACAATAATCATATTGTAGTACCATTTTTAAAGCTGAACACGATTAATAACATTAATCATTTCTTCTTTAGATTGAATATTTGAAGGAGTAAGAGTATCTGTTTCTGCACCAGAAGAATTGGAAGAAGATGAATAAGAAGGAATCTTTGACTTTAACTTCTTATCTTGAGTTTTGAGAAGAGAAACTTCCATTCTAACATCATTCATTTGATGTTTAAGAATAGAAATTTGAGATTTCATGGAATTGACTTCTAATATTAAATTAGAACTAGAAGATTTTGAAGTTTCAAAACGATTTAAAACTTTTTGC